GTGCCCCCAATTAGCGCAGTTGGAATAACAAGGTGATGGCCCAGTTATAAGGCTATCATACTACCAGAAGAGAGTGTTCAGACCACAGAATTCGAAAAAGAATAGAGTCTACATATTTTGATTTTTGTACATGGTTATATCCATACTCATTTGTAAGTAGTGCTTTTTTTAAAATGTAAGTGTTTACGCCCAAGCACCAATTAGAATATTAAGGGTCTGGGTTTCGACCCTGCCTGTCAGGACCAATCCGGGCTGAGAGAGATACAATTACCCAACAGAAAGACCAAGATACTTGATAAAAAATTCTCCCCACACGGGAATCGAACTCAGGTCTCTTGCATGTTGCGGCGAAGCGCCTAACGACTACACCGGAGACGCCAGTTGTAGTGAGTTACCGTATAACTACTTTGGAAAATTGTTGACAACAACATATTATATCCGCACAAAGGGAGTGGACACAGCAGACTACCGTTTTGCAAGATGGGGGAAAATACATCAACATTTACCAGTGGGCTTTTTGCGGAGACACACACACACACTCTCTCTCTCTCACACACACACACACACACACACACACACACACACACACACACACGCGCGCGCGCGCGCGCGCGCGCACATTCACACACACACACACAGAGAGAGAGAGAGAGAGAGAGAGAGAGAGAGAGAGAGAGAGAGAGTCAGATTGACAGTCTGTCAGACAGACATACTTATAGACAGACTGATTGATTGACTGATAGACAGACAGACAGACAGACAGACAGAGACAGAGACAAGGACAGAGACAGAGAGAGAGCAAGCGAGAGAACGAGAGAGAGCGAGCGAGAGAGAGAGAGAGAGAGAGAGAGAGAGAGAGAGAGAGAGAGAGAGAGAGAGAGAGAGAGAGAGAGAGAGAGTTTGCGTATTGGCGTCGTGAAGAGTGTTTTCTGAAGTACAGACGTCAACAAAAGTTAAGGACCACTTTGATAGACAGTTCTAATTTTTAAAATTATTCGAAAAAAAAGACAGCAAGGAATGTTTCAAAATTTTTTGCTCTGAAAGTGTTAATGGGTTACCAACGCGTACTGCAAAGCATCCTAAAGGACCAAAACCACCACGTGCAGCACGGAAATCCTCGTGGAATTTTAGCCAAATTTGCTGTTTTTTTATCGACTTGTGTGCGACTCCAAGGACTTTCCTCAGTTAAAATTTCTGGTGCACGTCATAAACAGACGTACGGTCTCGACCTGTGCTCACTTTGGTGGCAATATAAGCCACCGTTTGCGCAATATCCGGTATCGCATCAACATACCACAAAGACGAAAGCTGAAAGACTTTGATCGTGCCAGAGCTATGGCATGGCTGGAGGATGGAGTTGAAATCCGAGAAGTTGCCAGAAGGCTCGCAGTGTCATACTCTGTCATTGTCCGCCTGAGGCAGCACCATCACGCCACTGGATCAGTCCAAGAACGCCCATTTGCAGGTCGACCCAAGAAGACCACTCACAGTGTTTGCAAGTGATCCGTAACTTTTGTTGAAGTCTGTACAATAACACTCCATTATTTTGTTCGTCCCTGAATGTTCTCATTTACTCATGTTCGAGATACCACAAGCACAGAAAACAGGAAATACTCCGTAATTAATTAGAAAGAGTAATTAAATAGTGACAGGCGTTAATCAAATTAACCACCAAGGAAATATTTTTATAATATCACGGGTAATCATAAGCATTAGACGACATGTTGTTAAATCCAGACCTCTCAAGTTGTTGAGGAATATTGGTTCGAATGTGCTTTTTTTTATGAAGGTGTGTTACACCCCTATCGACATAATTTAGATAAATTAAAAATGGGCTTTCAAACTTTACGGGCAGGGCCAAGCCGGGCTGAGAGGGATACAACATCTCAGTAGAAAGACCTAGCTATACTAGGTACTCGATAAAAATTTTCTCCACATCCGGGAATCGAACTTGGGTCTCCTGTGCGCAACCACGAAGTGGCTAACCACCACACCACAGACGCTGCTAACGTGCCTTTGATGAAATAAACGGACTACAATCAATGACTGTTCTTATAGATGGTCTTAGATTTTCAGAACTTACTTGACCTGCAAAGCACATCCAGGGTCTCCCGTTACTTTTACACGGGGCCAACTTTGGGCAGCCAGTATGTCATACGCGATAGACGATTTTGGCGTATTTTAAGAATTGAGGGTTTGGAAGGGGGGGGGGGGGAGTTGTGAGAAGCAAACATATCGACTGCTCAATATAAGGCTCCGTCATACGTCACTTTTCAAAATGCCGTATCATCATAATCGTCATCATCAATGCCTTTCTCACCCTTCATCAGGTTTTAAGCCACGAAAAATCACTTTCATTTTGTTTCTATCCTGGGCCAGCCTATTGATGTTATTCCATGTCTTCCCACTTTTCTCTACATCAATTTCTGTGATTTTTTTCAAGGTTCCACGCGGTCATCTCCTTAATTTTTTACCTTGCAGATTCCAATCCTAAAATGGTGTATTGCACAAAACAGTCAATAAACTAATAAAACCAGATCTGGCTTTGTGAAACTAAAACAAGTTACCTAGCACGTTGGTGGAGTTTGCTGTTCCGAGACCTTTGGTTCGGTTCATCCTCGTCACGTTCTGAATCTCCCATGTTACGTTTGGAGGCTGACCTGTGAAAGAATGGCATGCGCTGATGAATCTTTTTCATCTTGCAGAAGATGACATTCCTTTCAAACATCTGTCGTGTTATCTCTCCACCTTCCTTTCATTGTATGTTATTCTTTTGTAACACCTCTAATCCTCGGTACTTACATGACCTAACTGTGTTGCAAGTGCAGTAAATATCTTACTAAAACAAAACAGAAAGATGGCAGAGGATGATAAAAAGTTGTAGCGAGATAGAAACACTTTAGTGCCTTGATGGGAGGATATCCTATCCTTTCCCTTCCACAGTCCAATAATTTTCCAATGAAAAAAACAACAACAACCAAACTTAACAAACAAAAAAGTCCAATTACCCCCCCCCCCTTTCCCCGCACACACACTTACACACACACACTCACACACACACACACACACACACACAGACACACAGACAGATACAAGCGACATTTAACACACACACACATTAAACAATAATCTCAAACCCGACGCACGCTACTCCGCAGATAGTGTTTACAGATGGTTGGACTCAGTGTCGGGAGCAGTACACGCACACGATAAAGATGCTTTTATTTCGGAGTAAACTGTAGTTGTATATCGATATCATGATTACGAGCGGGATACTTGTCGCTTTGAACATGATCTCTGTGCGGAC